GTATACGTATATTAGTAAAAGATGCACCCACCTTCACTACAAACCCATTCTATATATTAAAATACTACAATGTTATTCAATGAATACTTGTCCTACAATTTTTATTGTTCCATTAAATCTTNCACTACAAATCCATTCTATATATTAAAATACTACAATGTTATTCAATGAATACTTGTTCTACAATTTTTATTGTTCCATTAAATCTTTTTATAAAAAAAGGTTAAAAAATGTCTATTTTTTAATTTTGAAAAAATCTTCAAATTATTTTTCTACTCTAATTAGTATATTGATTAAATAGTGTTTTCCGCTGTATTTTAATGTTGAAAAAATTTTTAAGAAATATTTGAAGTGAATTTCAAATATTTTTTATTAATAGTACTTAAGGGACCCATTTCCGAAAATATTTAGGTTTTATGTTTGGAGCTTTTAAACTTTTATACGACTGGTGTATGAATAATGTTTAAATTAATACACAGTGCTTGTATAAATGTCTTACATCTCAGAAGCTTCAGCTATTTTTTTAAATAAATATGTTTATTTTGTTTTTTTTATCGAATTTTCGGAAATATTATGCTAACAACAATTGATAAGAAACATTGTTTCAAAGGTTCTTATACAAAAAAAAAAAAATTATTCCACACTTATAAAATTTTTGTAGTAGTTTTGAAATTTAATTATTTATATAAATGATTCATAATATAATCTTACTTTCAGAGGTGTCACCAATGGGTTGGCTTCTCTTAATAATCATTTTAAATTAATATCATATTCATTTCAAATTAAAAAATAAAAACTTTTTACAAAAACATGATTTTGTATAAAAACAATTTTCAAACAAAAAATGTGTGCTGGATACTATTTTATAAATTGTTCGAATTATTCATTACATTTAAACATTTTTTACTATTATTTTACATTAATTATTGTATGTACATTGACAGTTACCGTAAAAATTTAGTCTAATAAAAATTTGTGTTGGAAAATGTATATAATAGTATTGTAAGTAATCAGATCTGTTAAACATTTTTCAGAGATTTAAGCTTTAACTTAGAATAAGTATTTTTTCCAATTCCTTTAGAATACTATCCTAACTTTAGGGTTCAACATATTATTTGAAAATACATTAAGTGATCAAAAGTGAACTAATTTAATCAACGGTTGGTTCAGCACTTTTAAATTTAGTTTTCGCTCTTCATCGATACGCAAGGTAAAAGTTTTCTTATTAATAACTTTTTCTAAACTAGAATTCATTACAAGATTATTGTCTTTAAATAGCTACATAGTTATCTATGTGTATTTTTATAACAGATGATTGGTTTAGTATAAGTATAAGTTGATTCTCACATAAATATAAGAAAATAAAAATAAATTAAATAATGATAAAACTTAATTTATAAAAATGTCTTAAATCTATATAATATAATAATTATATATTTAATCTATTGTTTCGTAAGTATATTATTTAGAGCTATATTTTTATTAATGGTCTTAAAAAATAATCCGGAAATACTCATCGACAATATGGTTTATCTAATATACTCGTGTTTTAGATGCTATTAAAAAAATTTCCGAAGCAAAATATCACTTGTATATCAAAAATTGTTGTGGTCAAATATTGAATTTTTGTCTAGTACCTAAAAATGTTAACAGTTCCATTAAAATAATAATACTGAATTAACTATAATAATGTAGCAATAATTAATTTTCTTTTAAGCTTTATTTAAGAATTATATTTTATAGTATTTGTTTTCAAGTAGAAAAAATTCAATATATGAAAAATTGCTTAGGGCGTTGCACTTTCTTTAAAGTAGTTAAAAATGGCTTGTGCTTCTTTTCATTAAAACTTCGTATCAGAATTTAAATTCAAAAATGTTCTTCAGTGTGCAATAGCAATAGATGTATGCGTTATACTTTGTGGTAATATTAATACATATATATGGTGTAGTTATATTTATGAATCATAAAACTGGTTAGTCTTAATTAAATAAAAGGCTTTACTATTTTTGTTTTTATATAAGTTGCTTTAAGAGTATATTATTGTCCATTTAGGATTAACGATTTTAATGGCTTTAATATAATATATGAAACTGTTTTATTAGGAACTTTCTTTAGACACATAATAATAATTTTTGAGATAATCAACGACATAAAAAAGAATTTTTCATACATTGTAGTGATGTATTATTATATATCTTTATTTTGTGATTCTTATAAAAATTTTAATTATTGTTTAAAAACGTTGCAATTATACAACAAAAAGTCAGATTCTTAAAAAACTGATAGTTTTAAAAAATTGTATGGGTAGTTTTCTCCACATATGTTATGAATTATTAATTATTTTAATTATCAGATTCAGGACCATCTTTTAGCACAAGGTTTTTTCAGTGACGTGCTTTAAATAATATTGATAAATAAAATAAGTCTACAAAATTTTTTTTACAAGTATTTATCAAACTTATAGTACAATATGTTTGTACTTTATATCAACATTCGAACGATAAGAATATGATGATCAAATAAAAATTATCAATAATAATTATTGTTAATTATAGAGTAAAATGTAATAATATCTTTTATTTTTGTAATGATGTGGTTTACATTAATATTTCTGATGATAAGTTACTAATATTAGAAATACAAAAATTTTTTTTGATCGGCATAATTAGAATATTTATGGGATTCGCTTTTAAATATTGAGATTTGCTTTTAATAATTTTTTTTGTGGTATTGCCACTCCTAAATACAGTCTTATTTTATTTATTAATAAAAAACGTAGTTAAGTTTATATTAATAGTTTAAAATAAACAATAAAAGATAATATTTTTTGATTCTCTAACAAAATAAAAAAAAACACTTGAAAAAAAACAAAATATAGTAATCATAGTTTTTCATTAAGGCCAATTAATATTATTTAATTGAATAAAATGATTTATAAAAAAATGATGTCAGAAAATGGCGTATTGGATATGCAAAATTAGCGCATTTATGTAGTTTTATCTAAAAATTAAAAAAATAACTAATTGACACTTTTATCGTAGTATTAAAAATATCTATAGTTTTTAGGATAAATAAAGAAAAGAATAAATGAAATAAAATTGATAAAATGTTATTTTTTTAAATATTAAATTGATATTTTTGTATATTTGAAAAATATAAGATTTATTTATTTTATTTTCAATTTTCAGAAACTGATTCTGAATGAATAAACATAATTGTGAAGTGATATTTTGTTTAGTATAAAAGGTTTAACTATGTATTAGATTTTAAAGGTAAAAAAATATCTGTATTGAAATTAGTATAATATTAATAATTATGATAAATGTGTTTTGCACGCGATTAAAAAGGGCGTTTGGACCTTCGAATACTGAAAATAAGTTATATTAAAAGAGGATTTCATTTAAATAGCGTCACATAAGCCCATTCTAAATTAGTTTTGACATTCTATTCATGTAGTGTAATATACGTGGAGGTTCAAGTATAAATACCTAGCATTTTACTTTAATTTAGTATTAACCTATGTTAAAATATTATCAAATATGTTATAAAATAGTAGAGTAATATTCTTGTGACACTATAAAAAAGTGTATCGATTACTCTTTTCAATCCATATCTTGATTGTTTTTTTCGGAACTCAAGAGTATCTTATATAGAAGGTATATTAACAAGGTAAACGTATATTAAATTCATTAAAGATAAGCTTTTTTTCAACCAAGTAATTAAAAAAGCTCAAGATTCCAGCTATCATCTTAAATCTTTATTTAAAATAATTTGGATTTTATACCCACTAAGTTCATTAAAAATTTTCTTCAACGTAACATAATTTTACTTGAATTTTTATTTATAAAAAATAAGTAAAAAATATTTGTATTTTCTTAAGTTATGAAATTTAAAGTAGAATCTTCAACATTGGAATAATTTTATATTTTAAAATCTTTATATAAGTTTGTCAAAGTAATTAATAATTACTTCGTATAAAGAGAATTATTTTTAATTTATTAAAAATATTTTTGTTTGGTTTGAATTTAAATAAAAACTAATTGGATTTATTGGAATTATGGATTTTTAGTTACATTTATTTTCATTAATCTATTTTCCTTAGTGGCTTTAGAAATTTTTAATTCAACTTTTAGAAGTCTTTTATAGTTTTTGTAAGATTATATTAAATTTTTTGACACTTATAAGTGCAGTTAAATGCATTGAAATTAAATTTTTAGAAAATATAATGTCGCAGTTCTACAGCATTCACGAAATAGTTGGTATCAAAATAATAAATGACAAACTAGTGTCAAATGTATAAAACAGTAGTAGGACGCTGTACCTGTCATCATATCTACCAGTGATTAATATAACATAAACCCTTTCGTGTGATTTTGACGTTATTCCACTTCACTTATTTCCTCTTCAAAATAGCTTGGCTAGAGCTGCAGGAATGTAGTAGACTAATTCAATAATAAACGTAAATCGGATAAATAATTACAGTTAAAAGCCTTTTTTTTTTAATTGATAAAAAATTATTTTTATTTTAGTTACACTATACAATGACTATTTGGATTTTGGTAACTTGTGATGCATGACTGAAATGAAAAAAATTTAAATAATAATGTTTACATTATTAATCATATCATATTATTATATGAGAAATAAAATTACCCTTTAGTTGTACGGATTTTTCGGTTTTTTCAACTTAAATTTTATTTAGTCGTTTTTTTTTATTTAATATCGCTAAATTATTAAAATTTCAAAGCAGATGAATTTATTCATTTTATAATCAAATATTAGATGTTAATTATAATAATAAATCTGATAATTAAAAAGTTAATTAATATGGTATATTATTAATATGATTATTTTTGAAAATCAATTCATTTCAAATTGTTCAATACTTAGACGAGTTAATGTTATACTTTTTTATTTATTACACCTTTTATTTGCTATCAAATATTAAAAATAAATTTAGATTTTTTTTTATGCATATTTTAAATAAATTAGAAATTTACCTATATTATAATAATGATCAGTTTTATATCTTTCTATTTCTCGAACATAACATGCTACAGAGATTGGTGGAACTTTTTCACGTGTTAGGAGCAAAGATGGTTCTTGGCAACGATGTACGGGTCCTATATAAAATTTACCTTTATAAAAAATAAATTATAAAATAAATCATTGATTTTTTAATTTAGTGACACAACTTTTAACAGTATATTATATTGAAAATTTCGGTAATAATATAGAAGAAAAGTTTTATTTTAACATATTCATAAAATGGCGTATTACAAATATATTTATATTTATACTTTTTGAATTTATATTTAGGTTATGTTAAAACGACTACTCTTGGAAATAAGATATTAACTCATCATCAACTATATTTAAGTAGAAATAATAAAAGTTGTTTAACTTAATATAAAGGATTATCTTATATGTGATTACTTTCATAATACATTATAAAATTAGAGGAGATAATATTAATACATATATATATATATATATATATATATATAGATAAATGGTTTTATTAAAATAAAAAACAAGGAATTATTCTGAAGCTATTATTCTTATTTGTAGAATATTTAATACAAAATTTAGAATTTAATTCAGGAAATTTTCATAATTATTATGCTAATTTTAGACAAATAAGTTTATTTTATTGATTTTTTTTTTCCAAAAAATATCGTAATACTTGTAAATATTTTCATTATGATTTAATAAAAATGTTACTCAAATAAGAAGATTCAAATTAATTGAATAAATTAAAAGCTTAACGAACAATAATAAAATAAACATTTCTATATAGAATCAATCGTAGTAGTATCAATATTAGTAAGTACATATTAAAAATATTTAAATTGTAATGAAATTAATATGCATCAAAACAAACTGAACTCAAAGGGCAGTATGAAAAAGTTTTTAAATAATAATTAATACCAAATCAAATGTTTTATAATTAAACCTTGAAATAATCTCATTATAATTGGTTAACTTAAAGTATGAGATTAAATCACAATTAATGGACACTAAAAAAGTGTACTAAAATGACTACAGAAATGATTTATATTTTTAAAATTAAAATAATTTAATCATAAATTTTTTTGGTGATGTGTATTGTAAAAATATACATAAATTTATTTTTATTTTTACTGAATTTAGATGAAATAAAATTTCTTGTGATTTAGAACTATACAGAATGATTTACATTAAGTCTCAACTAATTTCACTGTATAGTAATTATTACGTGGCTATGTAAAATAATTATGATGTGTAAATTTACGTACTATTTAAAATGTGCATATTTTCAATCAGAACCTGATAAATAAAATGGTCATCTGGATACTTAATATATACTAACGTTACTGCGAGTTTGGAAGGATTTTAATTTCAAAACTTTGAATATAAACTAAAATTATTGGACTCAATGAGAATCTTTTAGGATTACACATTATCATATAGAGTTCAATGTTGAAATAGAAATAGAAAGTTTAATAAACATACCTTGTTATTTTTAAAAAACGAATTATATATAATATAATATTAGTTAAAGTTACTTTGGCAGGATAAATGTAATTGAATTAGATAAATAATTCCTCAGCTAATTGGTAAATTAATGAAAATTTTCAAATAAATTTTTAAAAAACCTAAGGACTATATCATATGAAGCTAATTTTCTCTATGACTTTGAAGAGAAATAAATAATGCTTGTTATTAAAAATGATAAGGTATGATTTTATATTTCGTTTTCGTGCATAATAATTTTTTAATTAATTTAATGATTGAAAAATTAAAAATTCTAAATCTAAAGAAGAATTATTGGTTGTATTTGTAATAATTGCTAGATTTATTATATTTTTATTAAACCTGCTTAAAATAGGTACCTGATGAAATGTTAGTTATAGATAATAATAATTATTGTTTCTTATCCTAATGAAGCTTTGCATTTGATAGTTTATTTGAACTAAAAGTTGTGATCAAACTTTGTTGAGTTAGCCTGCAAACAGTCGGTTTTAGCTAGCAGCAATAACGTCTTTAACTTAGACTAAAATTATGTTTACTTAAAGCGTTTACAACTTTAGCATGAACAACGAAATTAATATTGATGTATAATATGGCTGATAAATTACGAATGACAGTTGTTGCTTAATAAATTGCATTAGTGTTTCATAATAAAATTGAAAAATATGTACGGCGTTCTTACACTTTGTTATTTTTAAAAAAAAAAAATTGTAGATTAAATGTTATTATATGGATAGCAAATGTGTGCTCCTTTTATACAAACTAATGAATTTTATCTTTGACCAAAATATGTTAGTATGTATATTAATATAAGTATTCTAAAAAAAATAGTAATAAAAATAATCAAATGTTTTGATAAAAAATAAAATAATTTGTAAAAGTTAAAGTTCGAGAGTTGATTTCCCTTTCANAATGTTAAAAATATAGTAATAAAAATAATCAAATGTTTTGATAAAAAATAAAATAATTTGTAAAAGTTAAAGTTCGAGAGTTGATTTCCCTTTCATGTAAAATTCTTTAGTTATTTCATATTAGTAGTTATTACTATTATCTAAAATGTCATAATAATTTCTTTTCAAATATATTAACAGGAAGATTTAAAAGAGTTCAATCTATTTTATTGCTAACAAAATTAAGTTGATTTTAATAAAAAGTTTATTTAAAAAGCTTTTGAACACAACAATTCATACAATATAATACATTCTAATTGCTGTATTGTATTTTATTTCTCACGATCAAAGTTGTTGTATTGTTTTTATCGACAAGAAGGAGGAGTAATAAGTTTTCCAATTGTTTCGCGACCATCACAAATAGTAGATACACACGCTGATTTTTTCTATCATTTTTCTGTTCGAGTCTGCTGAGAACTACACTTTTATATTGTATGTCGAACTAGGGAATAGGTACATGGATAAGTGCACATTGAAAACTCTACATTCACAACAACTTTGCGGAACTTTTTTTACATCAATTTGTTGTTTCAAGTGCGTTGTTATTGGACACTTTGGGGTAGAATTCTACTGACGTTATTATAATTTCCCAGAAAATCATCAAATCGAATTTTATTATTTATTACTTTTTACATTTTTTCAAATAATAATCAATAATTTATTTTTACTTTAAATAAGTTTAAAAAGGTACTTACATAAATATTTATAATTGCTTAGGTTAAGTAAAAATTGTTTTATACTTTTTTAATTATTTAAACTAATAATAGCACAGTTTAAACATTTTTGACGTTTTTCTTTCATCGATAGTCAACTAGATGTCTTACTCGATATTTTAACATTGATGTGAAAACACGACGGAAAACTCGTTAAATTGATCATAACACTAGAGACCGACAAGTATACTATTGTAAAGTAAAGCACGTGACTGACTTGGAGTTTCTGACACCATATTGCCGTTTATGAGCACCGGATCGCGCATGTACTACTGAATGATTTCTATAACATTTATGTTAGCCTCAAATGTAATTAAATGTTTCTATCATGAAAGATTATTTGATAAAAATTATATCGGTAAAATTATTTTTGATGACCTAATTTTCATAGGTAAAATTATTTTTTACTAATTACGACTCATATTGTTCACCAGAAAAATGTAGATAGTATGATTAAATATATAATTAATTGTGATAATATTATTATCAAATTATATTATTATAGTGTTTTATTATTTTTGACAGGTGATTAAAGTTTCAAATTCAACAAATCTTTGGTATACCAAAGATTTGGTAGTACACTTTAAATAAGATCTGCTATTCTGACACGTAAATATGTATATATGATTATGATGGCGTAATAGTTTGAATTTCTATGATAAAATTTTTTTGTTGGAAAAATACAAAAATAAAAAGATCTTAAATAAGTATACTTGCGAAACTGAATATTATTTAAAAAATAATATCTATAAAAATGGTTCGAGACCACCGATATGTAAATACAACTTGATTTATAAAAACAAGATAGTTATGAAATTGATGTAGAGTATTATCTGTTAATATTTTATCAGCTTTGTGTATGTATAATAGAGTATATTTTATTTTATGTTTCATATATGCTATAGTTTAGTCACTGTCATATTATGTAAACAGTGGTTACCTTGGTAACAAAAATTAGAATTATGTGGAATAGAGCATGATTAAACGTTTCATATTAAGACTAAACGAAGTGGCATTTATTGTTAACTATGTAATAATATTTTTTATGATATATAGAATAATAATCATTTATGATTTTAAGAGTTTTGTAGTAATTCATTATTTAAGTAATTATAAGAAAAAATCAGTTATTTTTTCTAAGTAATTATAATAAAGGCTTACGTTTTGAATTATTTTGGTCGTATAAGTGCGTTTAATTTCAAAAACATTTTTTTAACGACTCGATTTGTCATAATCCATAAAAAAATCAGTTTTATGTCAAAGAAGTAAGATAATTTATCTGAAATAGCTATAATACAATTTGATTAGTTTACTCCATTTAATTAAAAATATTATTTATATTTTTTAAATCATCAATTTAATATACATGATAATTGATTAATTATGTGTCACGCAATACCTTCAAAAGTACGAAAAAAAAAGAATGATTAATTTTTCTTTACAGTAATTTATAAGTTTTATATACAATATTATCTTTAAAAAATATTGCTTTGTCTTTTCTTCTTACACCTTAAATAAATTTGGGGTTTTTTAATTGAAACATAAAAATTCAACTATTTGAAAATTTATGAGATTTTATTAAAATTTATTAGAAAATTATCTAATTCAGAAAATGACTAGTTGATAACAATTTTTGAACCATTTTTTATACTTTAATACTTTTATACCATATATTGCGACACAAAATGTCTAAAATTAAATTAATCAGACCCACCGCCGCCTTACCTCCATTGTATATTTTAAAATGGAAATAACGAAATAATTGTTCAGAAGTGGTTGTCGACTAGTCATTTTCAAAATTAGATGATTTTCTATGATATGTTACAGAAAAATGTATATGTCGTTGCATTAAAAATAAAAATGAATACCTGTTAAAGGGATAAGAGGAATAGAATTAAATTCTTTTCTGTGATTAATAGCTTAAGAAAAAGAAATATTATATGTTATTTTGTATTTTTGAAGATATTTAGTGAGACATAATTAGTTAATCATCTTGTATGAAGAGAATCAGTACCAATGTGTAATTATAGTGTGGATTTTGTCATGTGTAATATGCATTTATATTATGATGTATACATCTCAAATTATAATATTTTGCTGATGGCTAAGCTCTGTGGTAGAAAACCATTGTTATTTTGTTTAACACACACATCAGACGAAGAGAACTAGTATAACGAATAGTTTGTTTCCACCCTGAAGCGACAACAGGTATCCCCGAGGACGTATCTACCCATGTTTAAATTGGATGTTGGCCAAGAAAGTTAATTAGCGCTACAACACACAAACGTTCCTATTGTCATCGGTGGTAGTTAGACAGGGTATATGTATACATGTATAAATTTATTATAGTGAATTTTCACCTAAATTTACCACTCAAAAAACAAAGGAGAAACATTTTTGTATCTGACCTTACAACGTTAAATTTGTTGAAAAGTGAAAATAACTTTCTGATTTTATGATCTTAGTAGATTCTTAGTGAAAACAACTGTGTAAATTATTCACTTGATACTCAAAAAAGTACATACTACCAAGACATTAGATCAAGGAGCGATAAGCAAATATTAACTTGAGTTAAAATTTAGTATTTTGTAAAATTGGTACAAGTCAAATATCAATTTAATTCAATGTATGCAATGCATTAGCATGGGTTTATTTTTCATTTTACTAAATTTATGCCCAACAATTTATCATAAAATGATTATAGAAAACCATAACTTTTACTTTTAAATGAGATTAATGATTTTTACATATAGATATTTCTTTTAGAAATAACAGTGTTATTGAATGTTAACTTATATTTAATGAGAAAAGAGTTATTTGTATAAAATCGTCGAAAATATTAAAAAAAATCATCCGTTCAGTAAAATCTGTTTTTATTTGGACATTAATTTTGTTGTTTTTCTTAATTTTATATTTTTGTCTAAACGATAAAATGAGAAACATTTTTTTAAATACTACATATTATAACGCTTACAATATTATTGTAAACAATATAGATAATGTTTTAACAGGAAATACAATGTAATATTAATAATACTGCTGTCATAAAAACAGATTGCCAATAGGATAAAGACGTTTTGTTTAATACAAAAACAAATTTATACACCAATTTAATTAAATTGATAACTTCTATAACTGTGGAATATATATATTTTTACTTTTCGTAACTTAGCCGTCTATGTGGTTAAATTTACACTTCTCAGTGCACTCGGTTGATTCGCTAAACATATAAGTAGTTCCTTATGGTATTGTTGGGTTATTGATTTTTATTAGAATTTCTAATACAAAATTTTACTGAAATTTAGGTATACAAAAAAAGCATTACCTTATTGAATTGAATAACTTATAAAATTAAGTCTAAATTTGAATTTTTATTTTGGTATTCACCTCGTATTCTACGAATGCTGCAATTGGAAATATTACAACTTAGTTTTGTATTATGTACTTAAATTTTTGAATAGGGTTAGAGTTTTTAATTGATTAAATTGGGTATTGTTTTGACTTCAACGTTTATTTTTTATTTAAATTGAGTATTACGTAAGATAATGCTGTAGTTTTTAAAGTTGAGAGAGCAACATACGGAATATCTATCAAATAAATCTAAAAGTAATCTTGTAGTACTTGTTTAAATAAATAATCGTTTAATACAAAATTTAAATCATCAACAATGTACTACGTAGTTATTTTTTTAGGTATAGGTTTGTACTGTCTCATGACTTTGTTCACAATTTCTAGTGTGCCATATATTTACTGGAAATATGAAAACAAATCAACTTGGTTTATACGACGAATACGATTTACATATTCATGTGCTCAAGTTATGTATTTTAAATGTTAAAAAGCATTTAAGTTTTTTATGAATACATATTATTTGTAGCACAGGTTAAACACGTTATGTACTGGGAAACTGATAAAATTCTCAAAAAAAAAAATGTGATAATATAAGTTTTATATTAAATATAAGTGTGTACATTATTTTTTTCATCAGAATCATCCTTAAAATGTATACTTGATGCGATTTAACTTAACCTTACTGTTACTGAATAAGATGACGGTAACTGTAAGAGTATGAGATAATTCCGTCTGGAACTATGTTTTGGACGGTATTTCAAATAAGTTCATGTGAGCACAATAATGTTATTATCCGAATTGGTCTCAGTCAAAGCTCAGAGGTGGCTATACAATAAAATAGGGAGTTGAAAACACTAAATAAGAAAACTTCCATAGTACCTTCTACACCTCCGCGTCATTTCAACAACAAACTAATCATACTATTACTATCACCACAGCACAACCATTGATATTTATGTTTACATCTACATAGTCCCAGCTGTGACCTATTTAGACAACAAGAATTATTGCGGTCGGTTGCTTCAGATACAGGCGAGTACAAAATAGGATCAAAGAGGGTGGTGTCTCAATCCAGGGACCGTGTGTCTGATGTTAAGTGTAATGACGATTGAAAAATAAAAGAAACCGGAATTACTGACACTTTTTATCCTGGTTCTTTCAATTTTCAAGTATAAATCATCGTTTCCCCTTAAGGGATTCCAAAAAAATTATTATTATTAACTTTATGTTTTGTGATTCAATTTGCGTTTTCACCACGCTTTGAGAATGATAAAAAATTAAAAAAAAAATTATTGCTTGAATGATTGAATAACTTCATTTGAAAAAGTACAGAACTTCATTTCCTTCGCCCTCTTTTTCAATTCTACATTTCCACGCTACTTAACAGATCGTCTCCTGAGGATTTTCTAATTAAGATAACTAGTGAAAGAAAATGTATTTATTTTTTAAATCAGTTTTATATTTTTCATTTGAATTACAACAAATATTACATTAAATGTCTGTAAGGTTTTACTTTTTTAGTATTAAAACAATTTTAGATAATTCTTTGCTAGATATGTATTAATTTTTTATCAGTAAACATAATGTGTAGAATTATATTAGTTTAATGTAGTTAATGATAAAAAAATATTAATAAAAATTATAAGTTCTCAGCATTATTGGTTAAAATAATTGAAACTTGAAAAAAAGTTTTCAAATTCGACATTGTATTAAAGTTAAAATTTACAATTTTTCATATAGTATTATTTTTATTACGTTTATATGAGATTAAATGACGATGTGTTGACGTGATATATATTTCTGATTCTTTGAAATGTTTGCGTTCTTTTTTATGATAACAACTTTTAAAATATAATTTATACTATGAATTT